AAAAATGGATGATTTGGATAGGAGTCAAATGGACCATTTGAGAGAGAGTTTAATTATCTTCGTTAGGGCCAAGATCTAAACCCAATAGCAAACTTAAGGTAAATAGGAAGCAAAAGTGGCAAAATGAATCTTATCTATATATACGGGTAATGTTATATCCTTATGATAAAAAAAAATAGATAAGGGTGATTATAAAACCCCAGGTAATACACTAGTTACATGAAAAGGTACTAGTCAAAGTCAAGTCCAACTACACAACAACCATCATGCATATACAACCTCTTTGTCATAATTGTAAAAGCAACTTCATTGCAATTTCTTTTTTTTAAAATTCATATGCAAATTAAAACGACTCCAAACGGGACAAGATTTAAAATGATTTACAGTTATTAACAAAGAGGTTACAACTTAAACAAGAATTTCTTATCTCCATCCATATAAAAGACAAAACAACACTAAGAAGTACCACATTTAGCTACATTGTATACACCAAATAACTAGTGTTTTACCGCAATGTAGCAGTGTTACCTCCGAGCGGGCACGGTTATTTTTCTTTGCATCTAAAACTTAATATGACTAAATATTTAAGAAAACAGATGTACACATCTCTCGCAAGGAGGGAACACTGCTACACTGTTAGAGAAAGAATTTTTTTTCTACTAGCGTCACAAATATAAACGCACCAGTTGTATAAACCAGTGGTCAGAGACTCCCCCGAACTTTGGGAGACTTCAAATATTAGAAATGAAGCTTCCCAAAACAGAATTCAAAGCAAAGTATTTCTACTGCACTATGATGAAAAGTTTATTATTATATAACAACCCTTTCTGTACAGTTATTTTTCCCACCAAGATTTGAGGCAACTTTTTTTCTATGGGTCATAATTTGCATACCGATTTTTGATGACAAATTCCATCAACGGATATCCCTGAACTAGCCTGAAAAACTAGAAGTGACTTCGAGAAAAAACAAATTGATTTTAAATTATAATAATCCCAAACTATTTTATGACTTACGCCAAATACAATATTTCAAGAAGGCCACAGGATTGATTTCGATCACTTCTCGAAATTATAAAAATATATCTATCGCCCCTCTGCTCTGGTTGTAAGTGGGGCATGATTTTGACTAGTAGTACCTCACTCTTAGTGGAAAGTACCTGCATGTGGTCTAGCTCGTAAATTTTTGGTTGGTACAATACCTTCTCGGCGCATCCCCATAGCAATGCATTTCTGATATCGACAATATTGGCAACGGTTGCGCTGTCTTTTGTCAACGATGCAGTTCTTCTCATCCCGGCAGGCGTAATGCAAATCTTTTCGAACTGTTCGTTTGAAAAAGCCTTTACATCCTTCGCAGCTATAGACGCCATAGTGTTTCCCTGTAAAACAAGAAGAAGAATATTGCGTTAAAACACTGCTAAAGATTCCAGCATGAGGTGATGAGGACACTTAAAATTACTTTTCAATATCTGAAGAAAATGACAAAACTAAGATATAAGCAATATAGACAAAGATAAGGTCAAAGTTTAATGATCATACACACAATTCTGTCTACAACAGATGTAGATAATCTGATAGTTCCACATACAGTATGGACATTGAAAATATTCATTACAGCTCTGTGTGAATATATAAACACAATGAAAAATACACCAACACACGAGTCAGGTTCTCAACAACTAACAAAGTTAAGAATGTAATCACTTAAAATTAAATGCCAGTAAATTGCATAACACGTCTTTGCTTTAAAAGTGCATCTCCAAAAGAAGTGCACTCAAACCGAAAATTTCCATTTTTGTATACTGGATCATAAATAAATAAATATGTTTGACCACAGACGAATGTCATTTACATATATGTGCATGTGTTGCTAATAGAGCAAATGATGTACTATTTATTTCGAAAGGCCGAGAATCATGTCCAAATCATGTCCATGAACAAGTTGCTGGTATGTATAATTTCCAAAAGCGCAAATTCATTTCATTGTTCAATGTAAACAATTTTTGATATTTCTATTTGTAGATACTGAGATGCCAGCCTTTAGGGGTATCATGTCATTGCAACAAAGGTCAAGTACATTGCTCTGTCATAGTCATTGTACGCAACACTATTTATAGACATACTTTTGAATGTCAATGTCAACTGAAACTCAGACCCATTGTGGCCTTCGTCACACACAGTGACAAACATAAGGCTAGATCAATCAGTGGACTAAACCTGCATTCATACGTTCTGTTCAAAGGTAGTTTATATTTAGCATTAAAACCTAGGCTAGCCGATGTTTCAACACCAAAACCTTGTTCAAACACATATCTAGTCTTGCATCTCGCCTCAATGTTAACAACAATTTAGGCTAAGAACAGCCTTCCGATTCGGAGATGGGTCGGACTAAGTTAATATGTTCATCCATTTTTTTTTTCAAAATTGGATTACAATTAACTCTAGGTTACATGCCACGTTTTGCTACATGTGAAAGCGTTTTTAATCATCGCAACAGAGGAGATCTGTCAGTTGCATAATACAGTGTAACAAGCCACCATGCCCAAATATGGCAACAGTATTTGTATGTACGATATATAAACATTTGAATACGATACAATTTGCATAATATAGTAACCTTCACACCTCACTGTACATGCAGACTTACTGAAATATAAAATGCAAGATATTTCTTCTACCAATTTAATCAATCATAGAGACAATGTTTGCAATAGTGAACCTTCTTTGTCAATAGATGTCAGTAATCTGTGAAACATTTCATTTCAATTATGCGATTCCAAATTTGTTTTCAACAAAAAAATATTATAAATGAAGTGGAGAAAATATCTCCACAGGTAATAGCAACATCCTCAAAACTGAGAACAGGTTTCATTCATAGTAGACAGTGTTTTATTGTATTTTTTTTTCTATCTTTTGTAGCAATCAGATATTTTTATGTTAAAAAAAAGAATCACTGGTAATAATAAAAAAATATTCAATAGTCTGCGCATTATTTGTGTGTAAGAGCATTAACAACATATGGTGGGGATATGTAACCATAGCAACAAGACACATTTATCTCAGATGACATTAGTGGCCAGACAAGTGGTGATAAAATTGAAATGACAAGATAATTGATTATTTCTTAAAAGGTTAAACAAATGCAAGGAAATGTCAGAGTTAAAATAAGGGTACATTATGACCCGGCAGTCTTATGAAGATTTGGTGCGGGCAAACTGAAATATGTTCGCATTGTAGTGACAGGCTGCATGGTTTGTAAAACTCAATGGTCAAAATTTGTGAACTCACCAAATATATTGCGAAAAAGCAAAATACACTTTATACAAAAATGATCCATTATTGAAAAAACACAATGTAAATGTAGACAACAATGTATCTCACAAAAATCCAGGTAAAGTGTATAGACCAGTCCATTATAATTTTTATTGAAATTAAAATTTGCAAATATCTTCAAGATACAATGTAGCTGGAGCATGTAGTAGACTCCATGTAGCTACAAGTGTATGCCATGTTGACTGTATAGAGGGGGGTAGCTGATACAGTTTTACAGGAAATAAAAAAGGCTTTTTACAATTTACAAGGAAAAAAAAGGACGTTTTTACAGTTCACAGTGAAAATTGAATTTTGCAGTGAATTGTGTCATCTAGTCGTTATACAGTTTCGAAAATGTAATTTCCCTGGATTATTCTTTACTTTTTTTTTATTTGGATGTATATTCTTGTACGTACCGAGAAAAATGACACATTTTTACAGTGTACGAAAAAAATATTTGATTACGTTGTACGTCTAGCCTGTGATTACAGAATTACAGAATTTATTTTTTCAATTTACGTTGTACAAACAAAAAAATATTGCAATTAGGTTGAACGAAAATAATCCCAGCCCCCCCCCCCCCCCCCCCCTCTATATAAACTCCAATCTAAGAAATCCAATACTACTTCTAATACACCACATGTTTTGAAAAATCACAGAACTTGTAAATACCAACAAGGGGATAAATTATTGCAAAATCAGCCACAATATGGTATGGATGAAATGTTTATGCGACTCAACCCTGTGAATACAACAGTCAAATTTCATCAAAAGTCACACAAAAAAAAACGTGAACAATACTTGCAAGGCAATACAAAATTATGTCTTGTTTGGTTCAAAATGATTAAAATCAATTTACAACACCTGTTGCGAATGGTTGGCGGTATCACTTCTACCATATCTAAGCCCCTATATAAGTCAGCGTAACATGTTCACACCTGTTTTTAATCCAGTGCAAGTATTACCCAGAATCTTCTAGTAAATCACGACAATAAGAATTACTCATCTTTAATATAACAATGAAATATCACTGTATCTGTATGATATTTTCTTTTTCCTATACAAAGACCAATGTTAAATGGATCAAACATTGCTGTTTTCATGGTTTTTGTTTCTTTACGCAAAAATTAGTTCTGTGACTGCATGTGTGTATGCAAGTTTTGTGAACAACGTAAAATAAAACCATAGTGCAAAAATCATGGATATTTAAATACCCATTCTACCACCCACAGTTTTCGTAACACGTAAACAAAGATGGCGGCTTTGACTATTACACAGACCAACGAATACAAACCGAGAGGTTACTAAGATTTAATTAGGTCATTTTTTTTAGTGATTGGAAGGTATCGAAGGAGTCATCCGCAGTAATTAGTGCAATTTGCTCATTGTCAAAATTCGTACTCGTGATTACATTGGAAGAGCGCATTGTGAGAAAATCAATGTTTATCAACACAAATGTTGCACATGCGTGGTATGACGACCACCGCCCTTTAAGTCGTTTTGCGAGGACTAGCTTATTCACATTCTGTTTTTTTCTTGTGCCCTACAACAGTGTGAAGGGACAAAAAATACAGATGTGGACCGAATAAAAACCAGACAGTACAACACGGGTGATTTACACATTATATTGTTACATAAAATAAAGCTATGACATTTTCCTGAAGAGAACAGAGTGCACATGGGCAACCTTGAGTTGCAGTCATTCATGTCAAATAGTTTGGATTTCAGTCACAAGTGAAGTCTGAGGGGAGCACTTCAAGAGTCATTAAATTAATCACTGTCATTCACTTCAGTAAACAATTTGATAAAAACCTTTTACGCCTTGACAAGCAAATAACCTTAGATTTGACTTGTCTAGAACAGGTGCCCGGAGTTTTAAATAATATAGGCTTCTCAAGATATCACAGTGTTCAATTTACTACTGATTTACTACCGTAGTAATTCAAATTACCCATAATCCTGTATGATTATTTAAAGCACAAATATTTCTTTTTGTAATTTCATCTACAATATTTGCTTTACAAATTATTAGAAGAATTCTATGGTCAAATTAATTAATTTTAATAATCTAGCATATAATAAAAGCAATTTTACGATTATAGGTTTTAGTACACTATTATAAAATACAACAATTCATAAACCACAGCACCATTGTAATACCCAAAGAATACATGTACCTCAAAGTACCGGTAAACGGAGTTAAGTCCTAATTGAAGCACTTGAAGTAACTTTGCACCCATGCCTTGTTTTGAGGGACCAATCACATGGCTTGTACCAATAAAGATGTGCAGCGAGTGATGTCAATATTTTGCATTAAAGCATTTCACGAGCAACAAACATTAAATGGTTGAAGATGTATTTTATTGCCAAACACAAGCTTAAAACGATGAGTTCATTCATTCAACCTGAAACAAAATGTGACCAAATACAGGAATTTACTCGAAAATATTCAAATCACAGCTTCCAAACAAGTCTTCACTCATGAATATTCAAATCACGGCTTCCAAACACAAGTCTTCACTCATGAATATTCAAATCATAGCTTCCAAAACACAAGTCTTCACTCATGAATATTCAAATCATAGCTTCCAAAACACAAGTCTCCACTCATGAATATTCAAATCACAGCTTCCAAAACACAAGTCTTCACTCATGAATATTCAAATCACAACATTCAAAAACAAGGAATATATATACTTGTAAAACTACCACAGATTCTAAATAGTTACAGCATGCCATGTGCCGTCGTACATCTAGAGCACAGTGGAAACAAACATGACTTGCAATATTGGTTGTAAGTCACTTGAGTCATGGCAAGCCTATTTCACAAACTGAGTGATTGCCAAATTTTCAGTGGTACAAACCTTGTGACTTAAGTAGTGTTGTCATAGATACAGGTAATATTTTAATGATTCAGTAAATAAATGCGTGATTTTTGGCTTATATACACTTCTTTTGGAGTTGTGCTTCGAATGAATGCAAACACAGTACACATACATGTAACAGCTAGTTGAGAACACATTAAATGAATGCAAACACAGTACACATACATGTAACAGCTAGTTGA